TTCGGTGTATATGTTGTCGTTATCGTTTTTGGTGAGTGTGTTATCGTTTCCAATCAAAACCCCTGCGTCATGAATCCAATGTCCATCCTTTACATATCTCCTATGACCGATAAAAAACCACGTATCACATGATGAGAGCTGTTGGGAAGGAAGCTCATGAATTCAGATGAAACATCTAATCCGTCAGCACTTCCTGAACAACTACTCGTGCAGGTTACACACTAATTCCAGGGGCACCTCTTGTCAGTTCTCATGCTAATCAGCCTTAGAAGTGAAAGTGTGCTAGTGCCTCAGGCACCAAGATGGGCAGGCGCAGGTATGAACTACCAGCACCATATAAAAGAAAGACCCTACTTCAGCTCCCTCAAAGACTGCCAAAACTGCGGAAATGCCTGATAGCTCTGCTCCTCCGAGTCCTTCGAGGGCTTACAGGGGGTGGATGTGCTCATAAAGGAGGTAGGGTTCAGGCAAGCCACAAAGGACCAAGGATTTCCAGCGTTTCGACAGGATATTCTCCAAAGATCAACTCCATTGCTTTTGACCACATATGTGATGCTCGTCCGAATCTATCTCATTACGCCCATTGACAAAACTCATTCCTAAACATGTTTTCCGGAGCCCAAGTGCATTAGTTGATCTGACGTGCGGCTCTGAGCAGCTTCCATGCATGAAGGGGTTCTAGACTAAAAGCCAAATCTGCTAGCCCAAGAGACGCGAATTCCAAATCCCAAACCCTACAAACTCCGCAGGACTGCAACAAGCTTGACTGTGCACGCACCTCCATGGTGCCGAAGCCAAGGCCAATGCCCCCGCCTCTTCCATGGTTCTCTCTCCCAACTGGTAACCGGCAGGCCCACGTGAAGATTCAGGCTGTGGTTCTTTTACTGAGTTGGACGACGGCATACTGAAACTACAACTTGCGGAATGTCTTAATAAGCAGGGCGTGTAATCACACGAGCGTCGTCTACAGATAAGACAGAGTCTCATAGGTCGTAAGCTCCATAGGTCCAAGCTCTATCGCCTCGAAGTGCATTTAGGTATGTAGAACCACGTGTAAGCCATGGCTGACATCACCATTGGTCTCACTGTGGAACCCTGCATGAGGCTCCACCAGGAGCTCATGCTTGATAGTCAACAGAGTGTCTCCGTGTGGGCATGTATTTTGGACAAGGGGCGCACTGGAAAAACAATTTGCCTGCAATGATGCCACAACCACTACCTGCACAAGTGTCGGCCTCCCAGTCCCTTCAACAATCTGATTAGGCGCGCTTAACTGGAAGGAAATGAGTCGTAACTCAGCTCCTGAAATCTATGGTATGTACTCTGTACAACATTGCCGGTACTGGGGAAGGAGAGGAATTCGTCAACCAGTCTAACTGCCTTTGATTATAGGAACAACAGCATGGCACCTGTTCAAAGTTGCAAGAAGCTTGTCACATGGGATCGGATTTTAGGTCTTTTCATGATGAACCCATGCAATCCCATGCATGTCCGTTGTTTCTGGCTGTTCCCTTCTGGAAACAACCATGTCTCGAAGAAGCCACAGGCCTGCTCCCTTCTGCACGCTGCGACTCCTAAGTGGGGGAGGTTTTGGATACGGCTTCTTCCCGTTTCATAATGGTACTAGCATGGGGAGATCTATTTGGAGGAAGCCTAAATCTAGCACCCTGAACCATGAATCCCTAAACGGATTATGCAAAGGGCTGCTGTGATAGGTTTGCTCTCTTAGCTGCACCTCTCTTATGGATTTTGGCTCATCTGCTCTGCCTGCAGGGTCTCGTGAATGGTATAATGGAAAGTCAGATGAAAACTAGAATGGGTCAGGGTTTGGGTATGATGGGGAAACAAATGGAAGATGACATGGAAACTAGATTCCGGGAAGAGCCTTTTACACTCCTATGTGCAGGTGCCAAAAAGCTCTAGATCTGCCAGCTGTCTGCCGGTAACGGTCAGGTGGGGCCCAGGCCCGATGTTGGAGGTCATGACGACAAGCGTGTTGCTGAAGGACCTGCAAAATCGGTGGTCGCACGGAATCCAAGTCTGAGTGAGACTTACGCGCTTAAATGGATTGTGGGAAGCTTGCAAGGCAGGCCAGGTCTTGCTGGCACACGAAGAAACAGCAAGCTGGGATATGTCTTGGACTTTAGCAATGATTGTGGAAATGCGTCCTAGCAAGCGTGGCTAGTGGACACGACTCTGCCCTTGGAGTCCGTCAAACGCCCATCATCCAAGAGCTGCAGCAGAGTGTTGAAGACATCTGGATGAGCCTCGCCAGGCACAAGACCACAATTCAATCATTGAACGCCATGCACATGTTGCAGGGCTGGTTCAGGCTGACTTGGCATATATGTTGATTAGGTTTTTTCAGTTTCAAACTGGGATGTGCAGCACAGAATTCTGCTTTCCGCTCCTTCTCCACTTCGTCGAAAAGGACTAGAGAGTATGGTCTCCGGCGAACCGACTCGGTGAGTGTCCCGCCCTCTCCATAGCCAACATACCTCACGAGAGGCTTGGGTCAGGATTCGGGGGTTGTTATGGGGTCTCAGTTAGTCAAGGGTGAAGCAAGAAGTGAAACAAGAGTATTGCTAGCAGTCCTTTTGAAGACAACACCCCGCGACATGAAAAGTTCGGGCGTGTCAAGCAGGAAACCCTCCTAATCTCGTCAGAGATGCCCTGGAGGCGCTCCAATCAACTTTGACACCGTGTGTTTCTCCATGAACTCACTCATGTCCAAGCGGATCATGGAATCTTCGGACCCAAAGAAGCAGGAAGCCAGGGTCTTGCACAGGGCTGTCTTCCCAACTCCGGTCGGACCACAGAACATCAGGGCTGCAATCGGTCGCGAGGGATTGCGAAGACCTGCTCGTGCCCGGCGAAGGGCGCGGGAGGCACTGCTGACGGCCTCTGACTGGCCAACAACGCTTTGCGCGAGCTCCTGCTCGAGGCGCATAAGCCGCGCAGATTCCGTGGCCGAGACTTGTTCCACGGCGATGCCCGTCCAACCGGCCACCACCTGTGCCACGTCCGACTCGGTGACCCACGCCTCAGCCTCTGCGGTGTTGGACCCCAGGACCTCACGCTCTTTGGCTTTCAGTTCCGAGGCTTCGTCAAACCTTTCGGCAGCGACCGCTTCCTCCACACGGGCACGAAGAAGCCGCAGCTGCTCTTCCACGTCAGCACCTTTGGCTGGTGTGGTGCAGCTCTGCACGGGTTTCTCCAGAAGCGCCTGGAGACGAAGTTCGATCTCTTCCTGGCGGTTCTTCAGCCGCTGGGCCTCCTGAAACTCCTCCTTAGAGACGGCAACACCCTTCTGCTCCTTTACAGCCTCCAGCTCCTCTTCAAGCTTCCGCCGCTCGGCCATCTCCTCTTCGCGCTCCGCCTTGCGTGGCTGACCCCGCAGCTCTAGCCAGATGTGGCTGGTTTGGGCACTACCAGATGATGGCCTTTATCGTGCTGACGGTGAGCTACTCATTTGGAGTCTGCGGGATGGGCAACTCAAACATGTTTTCGATGTGGGGCATATATCCCCAGAATCTTAAGTCTTAAGCCCCTTTAAATCCTAAGCCCGGCACCAAAATCCAAATTGCGTTTTTGCTGGGGCCTGGCTGAAACAGGCAGGTCTTGAATCTGTCTATAGTTGAGTAGTATTGAAGCTTCCTACCGTCACATGAATCGAATAGCACTCCATGTGATATGCCCGGCCTCGAGGAACAGTTGCTGTCTGACTTTGGCACCCGCTTCATCCATCACGTCGATGGCCTCTGAGAGACTATAGTGACTGTAGGTCACCATGCTTTGCCCCCGAATCTGGCTTCATGCCATCCTTCTTCCGAGTAGGAAACCCTGAACTTGCCTTGTGTAAACAAACTTTGGAAAACCCCAACCTGAAACCGCCAACCACTTCAAAAGGATGACTGGCCATAGATCAACGATATTGCTCTCACTTCTATGAGATCTGGGAAACCACCTGACCCTCCCAGGCCTTGTCGGGCAAGAACCGATCATTTATATATTGCGCTGCCAGACGCACCGCGGCTCGGATGCTCTCTGGCTCGTATCCTCAGCTGGGTTTTGAGACGGATTGCCCGGTGCTTTAACTTCCATTGCCTAAACGCAAGGGCTTGTCTGCACCTCTCATGCAATGCAATGCAATCTCATCTTGCACTGTCCCAAGTTCAACCCCGGCAAATTCTCAACAGCAATCACAACTTCAAGGTGCTTCACCACCAAGATGCTGAGCTGGTGGTGGCGTTCATACCTGAACATCAGCACAGCAAATATAGGATGGTGGAGAATGGTGGAGCACCTACGCTGACTGCTACCGGGCTCACTTGGTAAATTCCTCAGCTTACTCATCCAAACATCCAAACCTTACGGGGCATAAAGCATCTGCAAGTGTTAGCTGGTAGGCAGCAGCACCAAGACACTAGCTATCAGACTTTGCGGATGGAGCACTTCGGTGCCAAGCCGAGCAAGATTTGCTCGGTTTCGTCCTCGCAGCAACATACAGTATCATACATAGTACATACTGCATGGAAAGCCTTTCACCTTCAGGTTTGTGAGCCTGCAGCGAGCAAATCGAGCAACACCACATGCATCCCCATGGGAGAACACCCTGATTTTTACACGTATCTTACAGAAGGAGTCGAAAGCCCCCTGATGCTTAATTCCAAACAAACACTTCAAGCTGTCGGCTGTTGGCTGCGGAGTGAACGTATGATTCCGTAACGCAGTGGTAAATGATGTTTGAGCATGCGAACCTGGGTTGATTGCTCAGGCTGTTGTATAGACTGGCTGAGGAAACCCACCGTCGCAGAAGCTAGCAGATACTACTGTCACTGCTTAGCCATTTCTGTTGTTCCGGTACAAGACTGTGAGACAGGTCTGAGAACGTACTTTCGCGACCTTTTCGTGATTGGCATTTCGCTGCCTCATCATGCTTGAGATGGCAATGCCAGACTAAACTCAACAAGATTAGACGAGTCCTGCCTGCAATCTAAAATAGCTCTGGTCCCGACCGCTTGTTGCAATTGCCGGCCTCTGTCGGCTCAGGCACGAGGACTGGCTGAAAGCGCCGCTCAAGCGCTGGGTCCTGCAGAACACATGCAAGCAGAGGTCCCTACTCCTGCTACTCTTCAAGAATGGCTCTTCAAAGGATTGCTTGGCCTGATCCTCAGCACTCTGGCTGATAGCTAGCACTGTTAGTTGCACCACAGCTGCCTGTATCACCACTACGAAGAAGGTTCTGCGGGCTGCGGGCTTCACGTGGGCTATTCATTTTGTCTCCAAGTAAGATTACGCGCTTTCCACTATGGCAACGCTGCTGTTACACCGCCGCTGTTACACCGCCCCCACAGCTCTTTCAGCATTTGCTCCCAACAGCCTTCTCAATGTACTGCCGGTACTCGTCGAGAGTAGTGGCCCCAATGCATTGCAGTTCCCCCCTGCATGCAATGTGGGCTGAATCACTGAAGGCAACCATTGTATCATACTGCACTCCGTGTCTGCCAGCTTGGCATGGTTTGCCACAGTCTGCCTGGCCAGGGCAGGTTTGAGGAGGTTGGCTGCATCCATGCCGCCTCCTTCTCCTGCATGTGCGCGAAGCAAGTACCACGGCATGTGCAAGGAGAGCCCAGCAAAACACAGGTACCGCGGTACTGTTAAGGGATCTTGCACCAGCCAAACTGTTTTATGGTTGGAACTATGGGCTCCTACAATTGGCCCTTGATCCTGGATCTTTGTATACCTATTATTATATACCCTATGAAAAACCTGCAAACCCAATAGTTATCACTTATTCCCTCCCTCAACTGTAGCTTTGCATTGCCTCCGCTGCTGCCAGCGCCGACCAGCGTGTGGACCTGCAGAATTGACACCCTACAGCTGGCGGCAAAAACTGAGTCTTGAAGGATCAGCGAAAACCAACTCCAAGAAGCATCCAAGAACCACATAGAACACATGGTGGTTTACGGTATTGGGAGAAACTACTAGAATATAATAGGGTATATATTGGGGTGACTGTCACTTGGATTTCTGCATGTCTACTGGAGTTCCAGGGGCCTAGGAGCCTCCAGGGTCGACGGACGGCCCGCCTCATCAATGACAAGGATCACCCGCCGATTGCTCTCCGACACTTCCTTCACCTCAGGTAAAGAAGCTGGGCCAAAGAAACAAACTCACAGGGGCTCCAACCGTTGCCTCTGTATTTGTCAGTCACATCCATACATCTGGCCCTCATGCTTGCGAAATGGAAAGCTTGGTATACAAGGAAATTCTCGAAGGCAACCGTGGAGAAGCTTCCACACTTGGCACCATGTCAGCCTGTGTTCGCCTCTCCCGGAAAAACTGGCCTGTCCTGGAAACTGTCACATTTGCCCTCTGGGCCCTCGAGCCACAGCCCGCAAGCGCTCTTCAAAGTCACCGCGGTACCTTCGCAGTCCATGCAGTCCATGCAGCAATGCAGGAGCAGAACGAACCTCAAGTTGGCCCATGCAGTAATGGGAGATCCGCCTTGTGCCAGCGAGGAGAAGTGCCAGGTCCAGGCTCAGGACCTGAACGCTAAGACCAGGCTAAAGACAGGAAATAGAGCCTCCTTTCTGTGTGTGCGTGTGGAGCAAACCCTGTTGGTCTAAGGGAAGATGACATGATGTGTAAAAGCGCCAGTGCGTGCTCATGACATGCTTTTACGGTTGCGTCAGGCATCCAGGTGTCCATAAAAAATGCGCTGGTGTGAAAACATCAGCTCCTTCGCATCTTCGTTGTAGCATTTGCACAGGGTGGTTATCCAGCTGTGCCTAACGAAGCTCGGGGTAATCCAGCAGGAAATCAGGGGGGACACGTGGTGACGTACCTGCTTCTAAATGCTACTATATGCTTTCATAGCCGTTTCCCAGTGGTGTCGCATGTCCAACAAAAAACTCATGTGAGACAGAGGACGCGCATGTTGATTATGAAGTGTTGAGAGCTGCCTTCCCTTACTTGTGTAGGGAGCTTCCGAAGTATGTGTTTTCTTTCTGTGAGCTGGCGGGGTCGTCACACTATTAGGCAGCCTAATTTTCAGTAGTACTAGCGGTAGCAGAGGCAGCACTAGTGAAACATGTACCTGCACTCGTACTGGTAACAGCAGCAGCAGCAGCAGGAGCAGGAGTAGGAGCAGTAGCAGTAGCAGTAATAGTAGTAGTAGTAGTAGTCGTCGTCGTCGTCGTCGTAGTCGTAGTCGTAGTCGTAGTCGTCGTAGTCGTAGTCGTAGTCGTAGTAGTAGTAGTAGTAGTAGTAGTAGTAGTAGTAGTAGTAAAGAAGTAGTAGTAGTAGTAGTAGAAGAAGCAGCAATGATCACATATGACGCTAGGTTTTCGGAGTACCCAGCTGCAGATAGCACTGACAGGCGCGACAAAATTGAAGAGCAGCGCACTGTTGAGCTGGGCGCCCCATAGCTGTGTTTTGGGCTAAGAAGTTTAGCAAAAAAAGCCATCCTTCATCATGACGACCATTTCTGGGAACATAAGCATTATCATTGAAAGCACAGAAATGCTGAAAATATCAGATGAGAGGCTTCAGTGGATGGTCCACACAGGTTTAAACCCCCTTACGAACCCTCCAAAACAATGCGGCAAGAAGCGTCTGAAAATCGATTGAGAAACTTGGACGCTCACAGCTGCTCATCATGACGAGCATCGTTGTCGTGAAAAAAGTGAAGCGCGAAAGACACAAAATTACTGTAAATATCGGTACATTACAGATCTACTCGGATGCTGAGAACCATGTCTGGTAGCGTTGTTGTAACCATCATGCGCATGATCCTCATGATTCAGTTTGTGCTCTTTTTTGCTAAGGCGCCGAGGTCCCCATGGTAGGTTTTGCTAGCGCAAGAGGCATGAAAGCAAGGAAATACTGTAAATATCATAGTTCTGATGCTAGTGTCATTTGCCGTTCTTGACGAAAATTCAGAATAACGCGCCGTCAGATAGGTACGGAACACGGCGTAGTAGTAGTAGTAGTAGTAGTAGTAGTAGTAGGGCGACGGGGCCTAAAGCAGGATTTGCGCTGGGTCACACTCGAACATGTACGTAATGATTGAATTTTGGCTAAATTTAGCCTAAGGAGTCCAGGAGCTAGAGTTACCTACATCTAGCAGGGCTTGGAGTCCATCAGCGGGATTTGCTCTCATCGGGGGGCAGAGCGCAGAAAAAAAAACAAAAACACTGTAAGAAAGTCAAAGCAAAAGACACCCCTAGGCAAGTCTAAAAGCAGTATGCTATGACATGCTATGATGTGATGTCTGGACCACCTGCTTGCCAATACAGCAAACAATACAGCAAGACAGAACCTGTGCGTGGTTTCTCCACCGCCTGTTCTGCACTGATATTTCCAGGCAGTAAGGCCAGCACCCGCTTGTTGCGAAGCGTGGGAGGCACTCGACCCTGGTGCAGGCTTGGATATGAAATGCCGAGTCATAGTTGTGAGCTTGAATCACATCCGCCATATCCGCCATGAGCCTCAAGCAAAGAGCCCGAAACCCCCAAGCCAAACGGTCTCGAAAGGGGCCTGCACGATTCTCTGTGCAAGGCCACAGGCGATAGAGGTTTTGCCTGGGCGTCCGGAGAGACTCAAACTGTTGCAGCACTGCTTAGCGAATGTTCTGAAGATACTTGGAGGATATTGCAGCCGAAGGGCCCACTCCTGCTTCACCCACGAAGACGGGATTGTTCTTGGACCTGAGCAGCCGGCACAGCTCTTCTATCAAAATCAAACGTGAGCACTTAAGGTGCTCAGGCGCATTGCAATTTTGGCGGTCCGACCATTGAGTTCGCACAATTGCGAAAGTTTGCTCACAAGACTGCTGCACATATCCGAATCTCAGTCATCCCGCAGGTGTTCACAATGGAGTCAAGGTGGCGGAGGCTTGATTGGGATTCTTACTTTCCGTCATATTCCATAACCAGCTAGGGGCTTCTCCTGTGTGGCCGACCGGCGCCCGAGGATCCTGATGGTCCGCTCCAGCTGGACCTCACGGCCTTGATGGAATTGTTTGTCAGAAACGAAAATTGGGCTGACAACGTAAATTGCGTAGATGAGGCTCCAGGGAAGAACATAACAAACCCCTCAAATGGTTGGTATTCTGTGAGACTCTCTTGCACTCGAAGGACACAGCGCCCGCGACATCCTGACAGAACTGTGCCAAGCAGTTGCTGAGTTTTCTGAGCGCTTGGCCAACCAAGGGATCCAAGCGGCCCTCCTCTGCAGCCCTTGTGAGGTCCTACGGATCATCTGCTTCAGGTGCCCCACTTTGAACGTCACGTGCTATGCACCCTTGCGGAGCCTGCAGACCCCGTTTGTCCCCAAAACTTCCTTCAACGGAACCCTGGCCTCTGCAAACCTCAAGGTTTCCGTCAGGCGCAGCTCGGGCTCATCTTCCTTGGGGGCAGAGACCTTCACAACACAGATGGACTGCTCAGGGGTAGTCTACCACCATCTCAAAATCTCTCCACCTCCAGCGCTGCCGCAGTGATTGGGACCGATGGCGCTGCCTGCAGATACACGCGCTGCTGCGAGAGCATCAATCAGACAGGGCCAGCCGGGGCGCTAAATACACAACGCAACTGCGACCTGTTTTAGGTGTCGAATCCAATGCTTGCTCGCTTCTTCAGATGGGAGTACCTTCAGTAATCTGCGGAACAAGCCTGTGCGTCGAGCTTCGCGAAGACCTGGTCGAGGCTAACACTGCTGCGTGCACGTTGTTGAAGGACTGTTTGCGCCGTGATTTGACATTCTGGAATGGCATGCCCTTGCTGCTTCTCCTGCCGCCTTGCACACCTCTATCATGTATCTGTACTCGCTTTGTGTCTGCGAATACTTTTACAACAACCAGATTAACCCTTGCCTTCTTTCGAGTCTCCTCGGCGCTCTCGCAGCCCAGCATGTGCCTCGCGAAGTCACGAGCTAGACACCACTCTCTTGCAAGCGGTCCAACCCAGATTGGTCTAGATCTAGCGGCAGGCAGCTGCACAAGCACTGGGACAACGTTTTGATTTGGCGCTGTCCTGTGACGTCCCAAGCAGGAAGCCGATTCGGTCCCTCCATCAATCCCTATCGTTCTCATAGCTCACATGAGTGAAACATCATTTGGCTCCGCTACCTGCGTCCTTGCGCCTAAGCATCACAATTCATCTTCCAGTAGTCGTTGCTGGCCCCGTAGTCCTGGAGGAGCTGGACTTTTGACATTTCCTCGATCAAGGTGTGGAGCTGCTGGAGGCTGCATTTCTTGTAAATCTCCTCCCCCGCATCCGAGTGTCTGCAGGCCTTGGGCATAAGGCAATGGACTCGATTCTCCCCTACCCGGAGGTACCACCTGGCATCCGCCACCTCCCACGGTACTCGTACCAGCTCCTTGACGCCGAGCTTGTAGGCCACAACGTCTGAATCCCCCCGAGCGGTGCGGCGAAGCTGCAGCAGGTGCATGATGGACCCAGTGAGGCCTATCTGCTCGAGGGCTTTGACTAGACGAGGCCTGGCATAGTACAACGTGCCGTATGGGGTCAGGCTCATGTGCGCCGCCTGCAAAGCTTTCTCCTACAAGTTCAAGAGGTGTTCAACTCGCATGCCCTTGGCGCTCTCGAACCATTTGGACTTGGTCAATGCCGACTCATGCGGGGGCGGCTTGTGCACCGTGACCCGCACACCGCGCTTGACCTGAGCAGCACCAGCAAAGAAGTCAAAGGGGCAGGGGAGGACCGCCGAGCCAATGGAGTGCCGAATACAGGGGCCCGCTGAGCTAGCGGAGTACAAAACCCAAGGGCCCGCTGAGCTCCCGAGCTTCTCGTCGCAGCCGAGCTGCCGGAGTCCTGAACGCAGAACTTCGGGTGTCAGGAGCTCTGCGGCGCCCGTGTTTTACCACCAGAGTTGGGCGGATTTCGACGGGTAGCTCGTGGGCCGACGGTCAGGTTTGAGGGGTTTGGCAAGCAAGACAGCCGTAGCTCATGCTTGTTATCCTTCTCTAAATTAACCTCAGACATTCCTTACTAAGTTATTTCACATGAATACGCCACTGAGGCAACGAGCTCCGCCAGCTTGGTCACCTCATCTAGGTCCTCCTCCAAGACTTCGGGCTGTATCTTTGGCTAATGTGCCTTGATGTAGTCACGCACGTGCTCTGAAGCCATTGTGCACTGCCGACCACGGAGGCCTTCCTTTGGCATCTCCTGCTTGGCCGCCCTCAAAACGGACTGGATCTTCTGCTCTTTTCTGGTGTTTGGGATCCACCTGATATTGACGTTGCGATAACGCTGTCTTGATCAGACTGCAACAGCCTCATACACTTATCCAGTAAGCCAGCCGAGCCAGTTATCTCCTTCGATTTCCATGGTAGGCAGCTGTCCTAAATCCTCCAGACCCAACTTATGTGGGAGCTCCTACTCATGGCCTGCCTTTCCTTCTGAGTCCTCCTCCGGCTCCTGACCCAGCTGCCAAAGCAAGGACTGCGGATGCAAGTGCAGGAGGTGTAGCTGCACGGGGAAAAGATGGGGCCGCAGCTGCCACTTCTGCTGGTGGAGTTCTCTTGGCTCGTTGCGCGCGCCCCTTGTTTTGAAGAGCAATCGCATAGGAACCGAAAGTCCGCGCTAGCCTTTGCGGAGCTCCATGGGCCTCTGCTGAGGGACTGCACTTTCGCCAGTATGTAAACCAGCTCCTCTTGTGCCTTCTCGTTTTTGCGCGGCGCTTGATCTAGCAAGCCTTCTTGTGCAGCGACGTGCTCCATTTGCTCCCTTAGCCGCGGCTCCACCTCCTGCAGCCGCTGCTCTTGCGCCGCGACTGCTGTCAACAAGTCCTGGAACCTTCCTTGACCGTCCTCGATGGCTGTCTGTGTGATCGGAACGGCTGCGCTTCTAGCTGCCGTTTCACCCTTCTTTTCTCTGCCTCACTCTGCTCTAGCTCTTGCTGAAGTTTTTCGTGCTCCAGCTGCTGTCTTTCGCGGCCCTCTCCCTTTTATGAAAGGTCTCGATCTGCTGTGTTAAGGGCAGGATCATCTGCTGGAGCTGCTTTGCAGAGATGTTGGAACTGCTTCTTGCTGCCTGTGACATCGGTGCTGCTAGCATCGCCATCTGGAGCCTCTCCTCAAAGTCTTGCGTTTCCCACGATCAAAGCAAACTTTTCTATACTTTTCTACTGGGCAATGTCTACTTCTTTTTTGAGTCACCTACCTTGTTGAGGGTCAGCTGGAAAAGGTTGAGGGTCAACAATTCTCTGCAAGCGGTCAGTCATCAGCGCTCTGTTAGCTCACTCCCTTACACACAATCATGCCTTTTGTCAAACTGATTTCCGAGGCTTGTGCCCAATCAGCTTTGTGCCCAAGCTTTCGTCCTGTCAGCAGGGGTATGTTGGGTTGCTAAGCTGGCAAGAATTTTATGCTGCAATCACGTCACGTTCTGAGTCAATGCTTAGCCCCGCTGGAGCACAACTGAAGAGTCTATGTTTCCAAGCCGCGAGCCACTCCAATGCAAGCTGAAGAACCAAATCAACAGCATGGTTTTGCTCCCTGCTCTCCCATAAGCTCTTCATTCCTAAGCTCGTCCTGCGCCATCAGAGCTTTGAGAACATGTTCAGAGCTGACCTAGGACGAAGGAAGGCTTCACAAGGCATCTCCACAACACTCGATCCTGACTGGAACTCGGCTTTTCGGGGTAACAGCTTGCAGGCGCTCTGCCGCAAGCAGTGGGTACATTCAGAGTGGTGCTGAAGGATCGCAACGAAGCTGACTTCATGCTTCGCACACTCGCTGTCCATAGAGCGCACCGCAACCAAAGTACGCAGCACACATAGATGTGAGCTATCTGATAGTCTCGGACTTGGCATGGCTCAGCTGGCGGCCATGGCGCAATCCTCCAATTTTGCTACCTGTAGTGCCTCTTCCAGGACCTGCCAAGAGATGTGCGCAGAAAATGGTGCAGACCAAACGAAAACGCCTTCACAAAGTACCTGCAGTCAGCAAATCAGGGTGAGCATGCAGGATCCCGCCTTCGTCGCGTCTTGCGTGAGCGGAATCTCCACATTCTGACGCGCAAAGGCACAGCTCACCGTGTACAATGTTCGTGGTCAGCAATGCAGAGAGGTAAAAAAAACGTTATCTACGCTTCAATGTTGCCACGAAAGTGGGATGAACGTTTGCATATGCTGCAGATTCACCAGCCTTGCCGCCTGTGCCAGTGCCAACCATGTCGTGGAGTTTGCCTCGGGCCTGGCAAGCGCCACTTGAGGAGAGCCACCGTGTTGACAACCAAGCCGAACACGAATGCGAGCAGCAACCTCCCCCGAAGAAAAAAAATTAAAAAAAAGGCGTGGCACGACGTTGCCTCTTGCAAGGAGATGCCGGCTGCCTCCAAGGCCTTGATATGCTCCGGTGCCCAGACACCAGAAATACAGGATGACAAAATTTGCTGTTCGCTTGATTTTGCAAAGAAAATATTTGGGAGTTCTGTAGTCTTTCGATCGTCTTCTTGTGGCTCAAGTGGCATACCAGGCTTCAGGCCCTGCACCCCTTCTCATTGCCCTCAGCAAGGATACCCACGACAAGCATCTCGGTGCCCACCTCACGGTACAGGTGCACCCGGTACAGCCAAATCGTCAAAAACAATTGGCGTGGCCAATGAAGGTGGAAGGAGCCAACGCGATTGCATATTTCAGCAGCGGTGGCGTTGCTGGCAAGAAGGCTGCAAAAAATGCACTCCGATGCAGCCTGCTTTTCAATCATCCAACAGCATCCTGAGGACAAATTCTACCCTCGTACTAAAGAGGTGACCAGCCTGGGTCTTACAGTACGTGGTTCCAACACAAGAGCTCAGGAAAAGCTCATGTCAGCTGGGTGCTCGACGTAATCGTGACCTCGAAGGGGCGGCCGTTTGAAAGCTCAGTTCTGAGATTTTGATGACATGAGGACATGAGGATAGCAAGACGGATCGTCCTTGTTGTGGGATTCGGAGCTTGTCCAGCGCTCACTGCCAACTTCGAAAGCCCATACCACGGCATGTAAACGCAACTTGCAGGCTTGGTCCGCAACCAAGCTTTCGAGATTCCGCCTGTGCCAGCATTACAGCCTGTGTCAGGATGGGTAACATTTGCATTGAACAGACAAAATAAAGGCATCAGGGCAAATTTGAACCGTCACCCGACCCAACCTTCATGGAGCCAGGGGAAAAGCGCTCGAACATGGCACCTAGCTGCCAAGGTCGGACAGACTATTGACCACTGGCGATAAAAAAGCTTAAGGATCTCCGTTTATCAGCCTGCAGCAAGAACTGCGAAGCGCATCCTGCACCTTAAAGCATCAAAGTCTGCAAGCTGAGTCACGCAGTGCAACTGCCTTCAACTGCGAGGACCTGCCGCACATCCAGGGTGAGGGATTGGACAACGAAGGCTCGCAACAAGCTCCACGACCTGACCCTCTTGTTCCATCTACTGCATGCATGCGCAAGACAACCACACGGCCAGCTAACCTGAACAGAAGATTGGTTGACAAAAGCCACAAGTCCATGGATTGCCTGGTCGCCACCGAGGTCACCGTCCCTCCCACAAACCTGAGGGATGCAGCTGTGCCAGACTGCCTGCCCTTATTCGATCCTTGCAGACTATCACATCAGCAGCACCCCAGGGCAACTCAGCCGACACCTACTCAAGTAAGCAAATTCATCTACACGACCAGAACTAGTCCGTGATCCTCACAGTGTCCCTCAAAATGTCATGCTGGTCTGCCTCTTCTTGGCTTGCGGGCGTGATGCCACACAGGCCTGGGCGACTGGCTGCAGGCTGCGTAAGGAAGGCTCTTAAATTATACCCTCCTGTCGCCTGGTGGAGGTGCATTCAATCTAGAGTATGTCTGTTTCTGGTGATCCCAAAGTCCCTGCTCAGGGACGTATCAGCACAAAGAAGCGAACTTCCCACAACTCCGACAGCCCTGAGGGCGCACCAAGGCAAGGCCCAGCGAAGCGCCAGCGCCCAGAACCGGGGCCGCCGGGGCTGGTGATGCACCTGATGCAGACATGCAAACCAAGTGGAGTTAGCTTTCACAAGGCAAAAAATGCCTAAACAACAAGTGCTTCAAAATCAGGTGCCTGAAGCCTCTCGGCGGCTCAGAAACGATCCTGCACCTGACACTCCACAGGCATCTCTTTTGCAGCTTTAGTTGCGCAAGGTACCGTAAACTTTGGAAGTTAATGCTCTGTACAAGCTAAATGGCTCGTCTAGGTTGTCCCAATGCCAGGCGGACTAACATTGAAAATTAGGTGCTATTAGCATCCCAGCAGAAGGAGAGGAGGCCGTGGACTGCTGAGCAAAAACAAGAAGATGCGCAACATGAACAACTGGCGCCTGTCGAGGTGCTTGGTGCCGCAACAAAGGCCGTGCTCTCTGAGAGGCACATGGCCTGGCAAAGCTAGACAGCGGGTCTTCTAGATTCTAGCTGCTGCAGCTAGAGCTCTTTTCCTGCTCTGAAGGAGCCTCTCACGCGCCATAACTTGAATGGTCGACAACGTGAAGCTAAGGGTGTAACAGAAATGAGCAGGAACTAACCAGGAACTCCAAAGTTGCCTGTAGCTTTGAATGGCTAAGCCTGCCATATCATTCCGACTTTTGAGCTTCTGGATTCAAAGAGGGCAGCACCACCCCGACAGTTGTGGCAGCTGCCACCACCGCAACGCCTAGGATGCTCTGCAGCCCTGCTTATCTACCTTGCTTCAGCAAGACGGTCTACAGGGAGAAGATACATGCGACACTGCCATGCCAAATGGCATCGACTGACGGACCCTTCTCGCTTTGGCCATGCAGCAGCTGAACAGCCAGAACACCCACACAACATGACCTATCGAAACAAAACTCGCTTCAGTAAGTTTAGTTGGTCGAGGGGCTCTCCATGGAAGACAGCTTGGATGTCATCGCGCAATGAAGTGCACTGCGCAGGTGCCAAAAGCCTGATTTAGTTTCGGAGAAGACCTCCAAGCTGAGCTGCTCGGAAGGCAAGCTGCCAGTGTGTCTATGAGATTTGCGAGGATTTATAGAAGCTTGGTTATTACATCTTTTTGAGCTGATGCTGCATGATCTGCTTGCTTTCAGTCCGCACCCGTATCCAACAAATTCTGCATAAGCCACCAAGTTTTGCCGGCGAGGCAAGCGAGCACGTGTGTCGTATCTCATGCTGTCCAGAAGTAGGTACATGTCTGTGGGCTATCTAAACGTGTTTGACAGATTTGCAGACAATACTTGCAACCTGTGCTCACGGCAGTTGCAACACAGCACACCACTCCGCTGAAGTGTCCAAGACCACTGAAAGAGTCTCATCCTTACTGGAGTCACTGCAGACTTGGGCCCTTCACCAACACACCTGATCTGCTCAATTGTGGATCTGAACTTGTCAAGTGCTCCTCCACGGCTTCTTCCAACTGGGAGATCTCTCCACTGACCTACACAGCTAGGAATTTGAAGTGGGCACAGTCGGGACAGCTGCACCTACCACGCCCGCCAACCCACGTCTCGCAGCTCCAAGCTCGCGACGTCAGACAGGCCAATGCGAGCCTTCGCTCGTCGGAAGAGTGCCTCAAGTTGAAATCATGAACAGGAACAGCGCTGGACTCCGACAGTAGTCAGCCGGTCGCCCCAGCCTTCACGACGAGCGCGTCATTGGGCAGCGCGCCCATGCCCTGTGCAGAGGATTGATGCTGAAAACGATTTTATACAGAATGGTGCGAACTGCACGAGACAAAGCTGAAGCCGACACACACAATAACAGTCTTCTTTGTTTCTACTGCTTCTGCCATACCCCGGCCGTACAGGCACAATGAAATTCTTTGCGCCCTCCGGAAACAGGCCTTCTGAGAGTGCTTGCCCACCAGACCAATCAAGACTTCGTCCTCACAATCACCATCGTTGGTCTGGAGTTTCACAGGCCTTGTACACTGGCAGAATGCCGCTGAAGGACAGCCATTGCTATTGCAGCCAGCCACTCGCCCATGGCCTGAGCTTGTACAGCAATGACGATGCCAGCAAAACAATCTCTCAAGCGCGTCGTAGGCAAGCATGGACTTTCACAAACGCGAGCTTCACCGAATCTCAGGTTCCAGCAATGAGCACTTGGCAAACCTTGGTCACTCAATTGCGGTGGCATGCACAGGGCGCCAGCAGTACTACAGCGCCGGCGATGTATCAAGTTCTCTATCGTGCGAAAGTGATCCTATAGGGCAGACGCATCAGCAGTCATCTGGCAGCTTGCCACTGCATAATTCTCGTGGCTGAATTTCTGCTACAGCCTCCATGATCTCTTCGATCAGCACCTGAACACCCTGAGGTCTCAAGCTGGAACCCCTGCCATTGATGGCATAGGCAGACTGGGGCGGCCCGCATTCAACTTCAAGGTCGCCTCCGCCTGCCGACATCCACGACTGCAACCAGTACCGCGGCGCTTACTGAAACACCTGTTGTTTCCGTTCCTGGTGCTCTAGCCTAGGACGGATTTCTTGCAGCTTGCTCCAAAGAAACACTTATCCAAAATCCAAGGCAAGATTTGGACCACGCCACTGGGACGCATTTCTCGAGGTCCTCAAATGGATGGCGCACCCGGTTGTTCTGCTCAGCCATGTTTAAGTGTGGAGCGTGGCCTTGACGGGCTCCGTGCGATCTTTTGGACGGACGCCACCAGCCCTCGGAGCGCACGAGAGGTCTGGTTAAGTGGTCTCAACTTTTCAAAGACGGCCATTCTGGCCCTTATCAAACCTGAGATGCCGGCAGCATCGTCGAGGCCTCTTGGTCGGCAAACTCCTGCACGTTTCCGCTGGAATTGACGGGCTATGGCCCAACAGCGTGCACAAGACAGGTTACCTTGAGGTGCTGCTTCTTCAGCAAGGGCTGCAAGTATGCCAGAGCCTGAGGAAAGTCCAGCATTTGTCAGTTCAAGGCAGGTTACTGCCCTTACAGCGTCAAAGTACGATTGCAATGCATTGCGCATGAGTCAACTATCCAAGCAGCTCTGAGGCACGCAGAGTTAGGTTGGCAGGCCTTGTTGTACTTCTCCAGGGCCTGCTTGTATTGATTGTTCCTTGGCTGGCGGCCAGATGGGATGGAAGCACATTGATTCATTAAACTTGGAACCAAATTCGCAATTGTCCTATGTACGTTATTTTGTTGTTATTTCGTAGCCCTGTTCGAAATTCATCAACCTGGGTGTAAGGTGAGATGTCAACATCACAGGGCTGCTCCATGCGTTGGAAGATCCGAAAGTGCTCGTTGCCAATCTCACGAAGACGCTCCTTCAGCCGGCAGACTGCTTCTCCCAAAGAGCCTCTAAGCGCGACCTGCTTGTACTGACACCAGGCCTCTATCGAAACTTTTGGGGGTGTAGCTTGGGCTGTCAGCTTCCCCCAATGTCCTTAAGCCCATGAGGCCCAACAGCAAACTCTGACCGGGCTCCTGGGCGAACATCAGCTCGGGCGGGTCGCTCCGGATGGAGAAATCTTCCGGATGGGCAGGGAAAGCATCACCTGGACAAGAAAAAAGTGCGATGCATCTTCTTGTTGCAGCAGGTCAATCGCAGCTCGGAGAAAATGCTGGATTCTTCGGGCGACCGTGTTCCGATTTCATGCCATCATCCTAAGCCAAACAACCTGGTTTTGTGGGTTTGGCATATTTGTCCTGACATATGGACCTTTCTTTTGGATTCATGGGATTCGAGAGCGTTGTACACCACGAAAACACCCACGATTCGCTTTCTCATCATCTTCAGGCCACTGAGTAAACATGGCTGCCCAGAACCTTGCGCATGGATCCCTAACATGGAGTCTATAACTTTGTGCATGTCATCCTGCGAGGATGAGTCTCATGGCCCTTCTCTTGTGGCTCCTCATGATACAGAAAATGCTCGACACAGGTTGTAACAGCATTGGCAGCATTACATCGCCAACTGGCATAAAGTCTGCAAATGCACAGCAACCGGGCTGCGAACCATCCTCTGGCTTCGGCACTGAAATCTGCTCCTCTGTGATCTCACCTGAGGCCCATGAAATCCTCACACTTTATACCAAACCCTGACGGCAAACAAGAGTTTAGGAAGAGGGGTGGATAACTCAAAGACCACCAGTAAAGGCCGTTCATCCTGACGCCGTTGACCGCACATTTTCAGAGATGCAAGGGCAGAGGGCTAAACGATCCTTCCTCTCAGCACTTGGACAATCCTGTCTGCCCCTCTTGGGATGGTCGCCATCTTGGTTCGGGGTGGGAAGCCATCCATATCTACTGTGTTGCCCTCAAGAAAGCTGAGCTACTCTTCAAATTCTGCATTGCAACAAGCAGCACCATGGCTGCTTCAGCGACACGAAGCAGCCTTCGCCGCTCAGCAGCCGGGAACTGGAAACTAGTCGGATATGCCCAGAACATTTGGAAATGAACATTAATGAACTCCGCATGCAATCATGTCAAGTCTAGAAAAGCCGATGAGAAAGAAGCATGCGAGCTCGTAAAAAGTCAGATGCTTGCGTGCGGAGGATGCAAGGCCTTGCTTGTGGTTTCGCTTATCTTTTTTGCAGCAGTGAGATGTCTCTACTCCGAATTTTCAGCTCCAATCTCAAAGGCCTGCGCAGCCCAGGAGCAGATTAATGTGTTTGACTATCATCGTAAGATCATCGTAAGACACCGCTCCTCGCTGTGGAAAGGAACGATACGGCACCTCTACCTCCCGATACTCTGCTGAAGCCAAGCGGTCAAAGCCCTAACTGCCAAATTGAGGCTTACTAATACCCTGCCATGCTAACCTGTACAAGAAGGTACAAAGAGCAACCACAATCAGCACATCATCCAAGCTAATGGAGACTCTGCACCAAGCCGAACCTACCGACGCTGCTAAGAAGGAGAATCCGTTCGACTCCCAACCGAGGCTCATGCCGCAGCTTTCGATGATTACATCGGCCATGGGTCGACCTCCCCAGTGCGTCTTGACCTCACGTGAGGAGGCCCTACAAGCCCTACGATTTGATTGACGTCCCCGGCAGTCAATGCAGCAGGCACGTGCCAAAGTCTGCGAAAGATGACAAATGGCCGGGAAGACTACTCGGGGCCAGCAGCTCTCAGCAGCAACAGCATGAGGAAGGGTTGACGAGGCTGCGCTGAGATGCAAACGTTGCGTTCAGCATAAGCTGCAGTCTTCCGATCCTGGTGGTTGTCTGCAAGCAGGCTCAACCAACTGGCTGATCGCATGCTTAACAGCTGAAATGAGTTTGGTTCTCGTTTAGGTGGGAAGCTTTCTCAGAATCGTTGGCGGTGCTTGTCAGCTACTACGAACCGAATTGATGCCTGCTGTACAGGGCAATGCTCATTCAGCAGAGCTCACAATTCCAGACAAGGACAATAATGAGTTCAACCAAGGAATACAACACATACAACACCTTCGCTACCGATGTTGAGGCAAGGACTGTCGGTAAGCCTTCGATGAGGCGAAGCACCTATCGGGGTATGCTGGGCTGCGGTCTACCTTGAGATGATAATCAAAGTTTTTTTCCTTCAGGACTGCAAGACCAGCACACCAGAATCCTGCTAAATCATCCTCACAAGCTTGGCTGCGGCATATTGCACCAGTTTCAGTTTCGAAACACTCTGCTTGCTAGCATGCTCTAGCCTGGGAGGTCGAAAACTCTGCTTGACAAGCTTACCGGAACTCCCACCTCCATTCCACGAACCACGCGGCCAATAATCTGGTTGAAACCTTTGCGGAGCAAAAAATCTCAAACAGAGAAAATTCACTTTCGATTCCTGACCCCCACACACACACAGCTCGTTGAAGTGGATGTGAGCTGGATTCGAATCTAGCACCCGCTTCCTTCGACTGCACAAGTCCATGATTGAAACAGAGTCCATGCTTCTGCGTTCCTTTTCAATGGTTTTTGCCGCGGAATTGCACTGGGCAGGCAGCCATCCAAGTGGTCAGCTTCATTCAGCGTGATCATGAAGGTACAGCCTCAGTTAGTGTCATCAGAAAACGGCAGGGTATCCTAGCTCTCTATTGTGCAGCAGCATAGCAGTGTTGACAGGGATGTCCAATATCAGAATCACTTTGGGACCTCAAGGCTCCCGCTGTTCGTGTTGGGACCGTGGTTGCCTACCTTGGTGGCTGAGCCAATAGCTTTTGATCAGAACAATGTCCAGGCAAAGCCGCTATCTTGGTCACTTCAAGTCTGGTTGGGGGATAACCGAGCGAGACACGCAACGAGCCAAAGACAAAAAGTACCCAAAGTGTAGCTTGACTACTCAAACGTGGAAATGCACAATGAAACAGAGTGATCACCGTCCTGATGTGAGGCCCTCGCTGCCACCAAGCCGGGCCTGAGCTGTTTGGAGTTCGGAGACTCCGATTCTGAAAGTCTTGGATTGTGACAGAAGTAGGACCCCCTTCCGTCTAGGAAACGCTTCTCTCCAAAAAAGGAACCGTTGCTGACTAGGCCCGCAGGATCGTTTGTTTAGCATGCTGTGCGCAGCTCGTGTGCAGCGGTGGCTCGGAACTGACCCACGAGGCAAGATTGATGACACAGGTGGATGGGGTGAATGTGCCCACGCATGTGAACTCAGGGCACAACATCAAGCAGTGTGGGCCCCATACCCGACATATGGGAGCAGCGCCAGGGCTGCTGAACAGCAAGGATGGAGCCGTGTCCCGATGTACAATACGGACAATGGATGTCAAACTCCCGAATCCTTGAATATGATCTCTGCTCAGGATGTAGTCAGGCTGTGGCATCTGGTGGCAGTCTACACCTCTGAATGCCCATGCTCAAGCACTCAGGCAAGTAATCGGCACTGGTAGAGTCGCTACTTGAAAACCTTGCACATGACCAGTTCGTGCTGAGACTGAGTGGCAAGCCGGTCAAACGAAGTGTCTGGAAGCACCAGCCTGGCAGTGGCTTATGCCCATCACGAGCGTAATTCACTGGCAATGACAACATCAGCTGCGCACATATTGCCGAGTAATCCAAACTGCTGATTGAAATGATTGGGCCCGACCTCTCGTCGGGTAAGTATGACCCCCAACAAGAGTACTCGTTGGGAATGGACGCCTGGCGACGGATCTACCATCAGCATTCAACTTGAGAGATGCGAAGTGCCAAGGCGGTCTTCTTTCAGAACTGCACGGGCTCCAACTCTCAATGTTACAAACGCGGAGCTCTTTGCACTCAGCCCATTCAGCTGCAAGTAAAGTGGCGGCCTGCACGCAGTACTTCGGCAGGATGTAATCCAGGGGGCGCCCCTGCAGCAGGATCTAGATTTACCAGCAATGACATAAAGGGCCGCCAAACTATGGCACAAGGACTTAGCCAAAGTGTGGAAGGTGCCACCAAACTACAGCACCGAGACTGCACAAATCGGCCAAACCAAGCCCCAGCTTTGGAGGCACATGCCATGGCATGCCATGACGAGCCTGGTAGCAAAGCCGCTTTCCACCTACACCCTGGCCCCGCTCTCCGGTGCAAAGAAGTCGGAAGTTCTCGCAAAGCTTTGGTGCGTGAGCAACCTGACATCAGTGCCCATGACATAGTCTTGTCTACCTGACACTATCAAAACTACTTCAGATGCGCGTCTATGAGGAACAAACATGTCTGACAGAATCACTTGCACCACTTTGCTCTGGTGAGGGTCTCATCGACAGATTGCAGCATCCTGCCTGGTCCAACTCAATGACTACCCTTCCTAAATATCGGCTCTCGGGGATCTTTGCACCGGCATCCTGCATCTCCTGACAACAAAGCCGAGAGGTGTAGTGTAAAAATACTCCCTGACCTCAAGCTAATCATGCCAGTGACTTGGCAGCGTCTCTTTAATCTAATACTAAACTAATGATGAGTGTCGTGCAACTCATCCATGCCAAGGTTTCCACAGTCACAAAATCTGAAGCAAGATGTGATGCACAATGCCGCAGCAAGTACAGCAGTCACTGTACAGTTGCGTCTAGCACTGCGGAGTTCACGCTGAAGGGTCTAAGTGAACAATGCGGCTTGAGCTTGGTCCTGCTCGTAGCATTTGAGGTGGGATGTGTCCACGGAGAAATCGAAAAAACAATGGCAGTGCCTGCTTCATCCAGCTGTTACACAACACTATGAAGTCTAGAAAAACCTTATTCTGCGAGGTGCCTCTCACGCTGCTGGAGGCGCGAGACGCCAGCATCAAGTTCCGAAAGCACCTGGGACCCAAGGCCATTCAGCCGCCGGTATGGAAAAATGGTTCAGACAACCCTCTTCAACTGGGACACGTTATCCGACAGTCACGTCACCTTCTGCTTCTGCGATTTCTTGAAGGTCGAGCAGCCGGACAAGAAATGATTCATGCTCATTGTTCGACACTGCTAGGCATGCAACAAGGGGCATCATAAGCCTTGGGACAGTCTTCGAAGCAAAGGAATCTGGCCTTCTGCGACAAGCCTTGGTACTTCTGAGCCGCCTCATGTCCACAATTGCTGCGTTCGAAACTCAGACAGCCAGTAAGCAAAATGCGTGCGATGACGTCTACCACGTAAACTTCGACCCAAAACGCCAAAATTAAGGCTATGAGGAGGTTCGAGAGGTTGAGGGGAGCTCCCTACTAGAGCAAGCAAGCTCCCCCTCTCTGCAGCGCGATCAACGGTTGAACACTTGCACTCTGTCATCACCTCACGTGTTCATTCCCTGGCCTCTGTTTGCCAGATTGGCTCTTCATCGCTGTCTTCAATGGCGTTGAACTTAGAATAGTCGACCATGGCCTGGTGTGCAGATTTGGTGTGCACGCATCTATTTCTGGATCTGCTCCACGCTTTGGGATACTGAAGTAAACACATCTTGCAGGGACATGTCACAAGTACGCATGTCCAAAACCACCCAAAAATTATCAGACTATCACGCAGTCGAACTTTTTGCTCGCTTGTCAGCTCTCTTCTCGCAAAACACTCTCACAAGTTTTCTAAGCCTAAGCCTAACAACGAAGGGTTGTTGTGAGAAGCATGCCAACCTTGGCTGGGATCATACCTATCTGATTAACATCCGGCTATACCTCTCCTAGCACCGCAAGACGTTAGCAGCCTCCGTCGCAATCCTTGGAGCATGTCTTAGAACCAGCTAAGAATCCCAGAACTAACAGTTGTTGAGCATGCTTCACAGACTACCACGTGCCACACGAGTCAGCAGCTGATCAACCGCATGGGAACGCTCTGCCCGCATAGCCAAACCATTCCAGCATCACCCAAATGGAGAAGTCTCCAAAGTCTGCCGGCTTTGCGGAACCCCGCGTGCCACACATGCAGCTGCATAGGAACGCTTTGCCTTTGCCCGCCGTGCAAAACTGGGTACCGAACTCGACATCTCTCCGCCATTAATGAGGAAAATCAGGAAATAGCAAGATGTGAAGAAATGAGGGTTTGGGATGGTTTGGACAAGTGGTTCTCTGAAGCCTGTGCCAGCTCAGTAGCAACCGGTGCAGCCACAAATGCAGATGCACACGCGCAAGTCAAAATAAACACCGCAGTTGTGGGATGCTTTGGTCAATATCCCTGTGCAAAAGCTGAGAGCATGGTCAAGGTGTTGGATTGCTGACGGGCTGGCCTCAAGCCAATGGCTCAGGGGTGTCTTTGTGCGCAATATTTTCGTGACAGAACGACGAGAAAAACGGGACCCAGCAACGGCTGCCACGGCCAGGCATGCTATTCCCCGATTTTTCTGGATTCAGATGCTGCGGGGATCATGAGCGACTCAGAGGAAGCCTTTCGCAATCGCTATGTGCTCTCTGTGTTCTTACTAGCATTGTGTGATCTGCAGATGGACACACTGAGCGTGGCTGTGAAGGTTGACCTCGAGTAGTTTTGGCTAGGGGAAAGACTCTCAGCCGCCTCCTCTGCACGCCTGGGCTACCGGGAGAGAATCCTTCCAGGATTTCCCAAAGCCCCCTCCGTGAGACAGAGGACAGGCTCCACCCATTGGAAATCGCAAGTTCAATAGCGGTGGGCCGATCGAGAGTACCGGACTATATCTAAACCCTAGGCAGGCTTGACAAAACCAGCAGTCAGCACATTCAGTCCCAACAGCACAAGCTATATAAACCATTCGAGCTGCAGCACTTTGCATGCTGCAGAAAGCCTCTGGCACAGAATGCTGGAGGCGTTTCATGGGTGGCCCAGGTCCAGCATCAAAAGCACTAGCAAGCACGGCTAATGCCTCTCTTAGAGAGGTAAAGCCGGCACAGTATCCATACTGACATGCTTGTCCATGCACCCTCTCAAAAATCCAGCCTGAACCCAGCATAATGCACTTCGGGCCTTGTCAACAGGATTAGTGTTACTGCATGTCTGCAGAATGATGCTTGAGCCGGGTTGCTCGACTTGACAAGGGTGGCCATTCGTATATGAGCCGGACGCTGTCAGTGCGGGATGTCTTAAACAGTTTGAGGCAAGCCAGAGACCACCCCACCTGTAAAATTGGGGAAGTTTAAACCTGACGATTCACAACTGGCGAGATTTACAAAGACATATCGTCGCACCACATGACAGCAAGTTTCCTGACAGGGATCGCCGGTTCCTTCCCCTTGATGCTCTCTGCCTGCCCGAGGCGTCCAACTTCTGTGGCCCCACCACTGCAGTTTTTTTGGGGTGGTCAGCGTTGCAGGAAGAGAGTTCATGGAGCTGCATAGCTCGTCTAAGGCTGAGATGAACAGCTGGAATCCAAAAAAACATGCTTCTCCTTGCACTCTGACGCAGTGATGGCCTCTTGGCGGCCATTCACGCTTGCATGATTGGTGAGGCGGGAGTCCACCAAATCTCTGAACTACAAGAAGGCCTTCCTCCCTAGCTAGTACAGTCGCACGGTGGAAAGAGCCATGCGAATGCCGACAACTGTAAGCAGACGAGAAGAATAAGGAAGGAATGCCAATTATGGCTGCGCAGCTACTGGCATTGCGGGCGCTGCCCACATCATCGTGTTCCAACTAGATGCCATGGACCTTAGGACACATGCTGGCAATGTACCGCCAAGCGTGTCAGGGACCACTGCTTCGAGGCTCAAAGGCATGTCAAAGCCTGGCTTTCTTGAACCCCTGTACTTCTTTGGAGGCACAGTTGGCAGTTGCTCACCAACTGTCTGAATGCGTTTCTCTCGTGGTGCCAAAGTCTGCAGCATCCCGATTCAGTAGCTGGATTTCCCGAACCCGCAATTCATTATCGGTATGATTTCTTCTGGGAAGAGATGGATGATGCATTTGAGGTCAAGATGTTTGACAATGGTCCTTCAGCAGCTATCCTTCTTACACTGCTGCAAACACCTCCCTAAGTTAGAATTGGGCTTCTGCACATCATGGCAGTCTAGGCAGCACCTACGGGATGTGTGTGGTGATAATATCATGCTGTCCGAGCTTGGATCGCTTCAGCATCGGTAGTACAAGTTGGGGCCGGCCGTCTTACAGGCTGGATCCTAAAAACTTTAGGTTCAATATCTCAACAACACGATTCTATTCCTGAATTAAAATCTCAAAATGCACAGCCAGCTGCCATGGCAGTGATATAATTTTGCAAGCAGACAAGGGGCTGGTCGCACTGCATCATCATGTGCTTCGCCTTGCGGCGGTTCTTGATTTCCTCCTGGCAGTGGAAGCACGAACATCAACAGAACGTTGGGCCGCCATGCTAGAATTGTGCTCAATCCGCCGACCCCGGCCTGACGGGGCGTGCGCACAGCAGTGAAGCCCAACTTCTCTGTTCCATCCAGAGATTCACAACTGTCACAAGTGCCCCCTCAAACCCGCCGGGACGCCCCCTGATCTTTTTTTTTGCGGATTCAGACCCGCACGGATCCTGGAATGCCTCTAAACCCTGGACCCGCCCTCTCCGCTTCCCACCCCACCTTGTTTGTTGTATCCTCCCCCTTTGCCACCCAATTCCATTTTTTTGCAAGGGAACCCCCTTTCTTAGCTCCGGACTCCCCACCATCCCGTCCCGTAAACCCCCACCTCCCCCCTAGCCCTCTCGCCTGGCCCTGGGGTCTAAGTGTCACAGCATCTTACGTTCTCTCCCCTTCCCACCCAACCTTGTCTGTTCTATCCTCTGCCCTTCCCACCCAATTGTTTTGCAGTTCGATTTTCTGGAAGGGAAACTGCCTAGACCTTTTCTCTAGGCCCGGACCCCCGCACCCCTCGTTGGTTCGGACATCATTCAGAACTGTCCGCGCCGACCCTGCATCATTGGATCTCCATTTCTCCAAGGGGGCCTTCCGCACCTCACCCCCAAACCAAGTTCAAATTTACATGTGTTCCAGAAGCAAATCCCCACGGCACGGAGGGGATTTTTGGGTCTTTGGGACCCCCCCAAAAAAAGCATCATGAGCACGGACGTTTTTGAAAACTAACCCCGAGGCCTGTCTGGGCCCGGGCACCAATTTTTGCAGTTGGATGGGGTACCGGAAGAGCTCAGATTGGAGAAACGATCCCCCAATGATGCTAATAATGCTGGCCCCCTTGGCCAGCATCATCAGAATCATTGGGGCTCCGCTTACCAATTTCAAGATATCAGGCTGCAGCCATTTTGATGTTGGTATTTTTATGATGGCTTTTGGCTGGCACCAGACTAAAAAGGACCACATCTGGCCCAAACCCATGGTTCTGGGCCCAGAA